TGACCGTCGCAGATATAAAGGGTGGCTAAGGGCTCTGCCCGCAAGGCGCCCGCGTCGCAGACGCGGTACCATTGACAAATCTGCAATATACCCCCACACGAACAAATAGCAAAATCCGAATACCGTGCACGAACTGCGTGATCTGGGCCGTGGACGGGGGCAAGCCTTCAGCTGGTGCCAAGACATCGTAAAATGAAAATTGAAGCCGCGACGTCCGCCAAATCCGTGCTTTCGGAGCAACTGAGGGAAAGCCGCTGATCGAGCCCAGCGTGCCCGCGGCCGCCTCCCGCGCAGCACCGCCGCTGAGGACGACACGCTGCGGAATCGGATCGAGCCCATGGAGGAGAAGGGTGCAGTCGGCGAATCGGAGGAGGAGGAGGAGGGCGCAGTCGTCGACGTTGGCGTGTCTGACTCAGAGGAGGAGTTGGAGGTGCTCCAGCAACCTAACCTGATCCAGAAGCTCGCCGACGTTGTCAGGTTACGTGCGTCATGCGTGATCGAGCTTGAGGGAGGAGCTCAGCTAACGATTCGGCCGGCCACCCAGCGCCGCCGCCCACCGCCACCCACAAAGCGCCTGCTCTACTATCACCTGGCTGGCTGACGCTCGCCCCCCCCCGCTCCACTTTCCCCTGACCATGCCCGTGATAGCACCATCACTGTCGCCGTCCTGGTTTTGAACGTGGCAGCTAGACTCTAGGGACTCGGTAGTCGTGACCGCCCCCTGAGTGTGAGGAGCAGGAGAGAGAGAGCTTTGTGGTGTTGGTGTACGCAATAACGGGACAGGGTGGTTGTTCTCTCCATCTCCCCTTCTAGCTCTTAGCATGAGCTGCGCCCTGTGTCCGACCCCTTTTGCGCAGCAACACCTTAAACTTTCAGTCAGGCCCTCCAAATTGAAATTCGGGTCGGAGCTCGAGGTCGGAGCGTAGCGGAGTGGGCCCCGAGTTTGAAAAAGGGCGACGGACGCTTGCGTCCTAGCCTCCAACAACGCCTCCCCGGCGCAGAGGGGCCCCCGGAGGGATGCAGAAAAACGCCGTTATTTTTCTACGTGGAAGCTGTGAGATCCAACTCTTAGCCGACTTCGCATCTCTCGCCATGGTTGACGTCGGGTTGATAGTCTACCTCACGGCGTGGTACCTCGGCAACTACTACTACAACATCTTCAACAAGACCGCCGCCAAGGCCGGTGGTGGCTCCGAGTATGCCATGATCATGGCTTGGATCCAGATGGCGGTCGGCGCAGTCTACGCTCTCGCGCTGTGCGTGTGCCTCCCGGCTCCCGGCCCTGCCCTGTCGCCCTCGTGCGGCTCCGCGAGTTGGCCACGTCGAGGCCTCTCCGGCGTGGGGCCCACCGGCGCGCCGCGCCTCCGGCCCTCGCGCTCAGGTGGATCCTGCCAGAGGCCCGCAAGGCACCGGCGATCACCTTCACGCAGGTGATGAAGCTGGCTCCGGTCGGCTTCTTCACGGCGGCGGCGCACGCCGGCGCCGTCTTCTCGCTCTCCGCCGGCGCCGTCTCCTTCGCGCAGGTCATCAAGGCCGCCGAGCCCGCCTTCGCCGCCGCGATTGGCTATGCGGTGTACGGCAGCTCGGTCTCACGCGCAAAGCTGCTGATGCTCGTGCCAGTCATCGGCGGGATCTGCATCGCGTC